ACTATTGCACCAGACTTTATCTCCTGCAGCTCGGCTGGCGCTGGCCGACGCTCTGTACGCGTCCGGGGAGCTGGAGCTGGCACTAGTGGCCTACTGGAGGGGGCTGCAGGTGCGCCCCGGTCTGGAGGAGCTGCGACAGGGCACCCGGCGCTGCGAGGACCGCATCCTGAGAGTCATCGGGAAAGGTGAGGAGTTTTTAGGGTATGGGGTTGGCGAGGTTTAATTGCAGCGAGTTGGAAGGGAAGGGGTATGAGATAGAGAGAGAGAGAGAGGGGGGAGAGAGAGGGAGAGAAGAGAGAGGAAGAGAGGGATTCACGAGCGTTTTGAGATTTTGTAGTTATGATGCTAGAAAAAAAAAGATCATATAGCAACAAAGTTGCAATGTCTGACGGTAAACATATGGTAAAATCTTTAAAACGTCAAAACAGTAACTAAATGCGTTGTAAAGTAAAATACAAATATTTTTAATGATAATGCTAATTGTTATCTGAGCTTATTCTTGCTTAGCGTGGGCAATAAGCAAAAAGCATAAAACTGCGTGTAGGTAGGCACTTTTAGTGACGCACTTGTCCGTGTATTGTTTCTCTGCGTTACCCTTATCCCTCTTGGCCGTAAGATGACTGATTTGCTAACATCCTGTTCACAGTTCCTCCTGGGAGTATGACAGTTCCTCCCGGATACAAGTCGGAGCCGACAGAGCAGGAGGACGACCAGCCGCCACCTCTACAGACGAGTGAATCCCCGTGAGCGGCGGCGCCCTTTGAAGACGTAAATGCCGTCATCCAATGGCTTTGACAGCAGCGCTCAGGCCCGAGATTGGAGTGTCAATGGAAGGAATTCAACAAAGGACTGCACACGCCCGGTCGGACGTGGAACACGAGTGGAACAAAGAGATAGGAGGTTTCACATTTGCGTCCTGCTGAACAGGTGTGGCAGCTGATACAGAATGTGTAAAACATGCATTTCAAAGATGCTCATGCAAATGAAAACACGCTTTAACCCTCGCACGACCAGGCCATTTCTCATAACACGAACGACCAGGGGGGGGGTTGTTACGACCCCCCCCCTGGCGTTTCGAAACGGAAGGTCGTAGAGCTTAGCGGAAAAGACCAACGGATTGCTCTCAACGAGATCTCGCGATTGGTGGTATATTTTTTGGTCCTAGGTCAACATTTGACCTACTTTTGACCGGTCAAAGGTCAAATTTTCGGAAAAATAGACTTTTTTCAACTTTCGGCGGCGATTGCGGCAAAACGGTGGGAGATATCGACTTGAAACCTTCACTATCGTGTTCCTTGATCAATTCTCTATCGTTTGGTATGTATTTCGTTTCCCTAGCTCTAAAAATCGCGCGTTGGGAGCGCCGGAAGTCGGCAAGGTCACAGTCGGCGGCAGAAATTCGAAAAATCAAAATTTAAATTTTTGAAATCTGATTGTATTTTTGGATTTGGGAGGTCCATTTGCTCCCTGTAGAAGCTAATATTGCTGCATATTCCCATTGAGGTGACAAGAATTAGCAAAATAGTGGTTCGGGCGCTTTTCAAAAATAGTACCGGACGCTGTTCCTCTTGTGACGTCATAGCTCCGTGACCTGACCTGACCCGGTCAAATTTCTTATACCATATGATAGCCAATACTTGCCCCAACATGCATGGGAAGTTTCATCACGATCCATCAACCGATGTCCGTACCACCGGCAGGAAACCTCGGGCGTTGGCACTCAGTTTGTGAAAATCCGGCCGGAGGCTGTACCTCTTATGACGTCATAACTCCGTGACCTGACATGACCCGATCAATTTTTTTTCGGCAAAAGATGCGCAAAGGTTGCCCCATAAGGTACCCAAAATTTGGCGGCGCTGCGCGCCGCCGTTTTTGCACTATTTCCGAAAAACCTCAGGGGGGGGGTTGATACAACCCCCCCCCTAGGCGTTCTAGGGTTAAGAATTATTCCTTGAAGTGAACTTCGTATGCTTGAGGAAATCGCTAGGTATTGTAGTTAGGCAGCACCCATCATGTTAAGAGCAAAAAAAAAAAAAAATCAATAGTTGCGCTAGCTGTTTTTAATGGTTCAATTCAATTGCCGTTTCCATCCAACTTCAGTGTGCAGAAAGTAGCAACCATCCCCAAGTGGTTTAACAGTGATCTTTTCAGCGAAGTCCAACGGCGCGATACACGGATGCCTATACTTGTATAGCTGAGCATAGGCAATAGGCATGAACCCTCGCACCCCCAGTCTACGCCCCCGCCATTGAGTAGCGTGCCACCCAAAAATTCCCCCATTGCGTTGCGCTCGCATTTGAAGGAAATAGTTACATCCTTACGGATATGTCGCCGGGGCGACCGGGCGACATATCATATAAGGTTGTTGAACTGACAGGAACTTATTTATTTTGTTTATTTAGGTACACAGCATTTACTACATCAATCGTGGTTATCCACGTAGTTGGCGAAAATGGGATGCATGCATTCACGTTCAGGCTTCTATAGCACGGCACGGATAGGATAAGGAAGTTGTAGAAGGCGATATATAGAACTGCGAGGGATACTGCTGCTTAATTGGTGTGCACACATCTGCAATCCCGAAAACACTGCGCTTCGGGATATCACTGAAGGCCTAATGCCCAGTTGTTTAATAAAAAAACTAAGTAACTTTTAGATTGTTTCCTTTTTGTTTGAAACTGATATCCACACCAAGACCGAAACAAAATAATAAAAATATTTATGATTGATCCAAAATGAAACAGTCGTCCGTGTCACCGCGATATGAAGTGGGGCTATCAGTCATCAGCGCCACATTTGCCGGGACAGATGAAAACTTTGGGCCCGTTTATACCGACAGGTGGGTAGAAAAGCACACACCTGTGTATTGTATTTGCCTTTTTATTAATGCATCACTGCCATAGTAACTTGATAATCAATTTAAAATGTGTTATCCAATGCTCATGACATTGGCCTACAACCATATCGCAGTAAAAGCGTCGAAAATTGGGCAGCAAACGTATTCATATCAAAACCGCCTTCAACAAAACATCCAAAGACGCCTATCATCTTTATCGTGCACGACTTTGACCTGATCTGCACCGTCACACTGTTTTCACCTGCAGCTGGCCCGAGTAATTGGCGATTCGTGGAAGAGGTCGGCCAGTTCTGGCGAACCACTCGCCATTCCTGGCACGGAACTCCCAGCACCACGCCGTGCTCCTTCGCAACATTCGCCAGACGCGCCGCCGCCATGGAAAAACCGCGTCTTGCGAGTTGCATCGCACCGTTATCGGATTGTAATCGTACCGTTATCGCATTGTAATCGGATTGTAATTGAGAGTAAGCGGCGCGTAGGCGGATGCAACGCTGGGCTGACCAGCTGTCGACGCATCCGGCTGGGAGCATCACTCAGATGCCGGACATTCTAAGAGCGACTGGTCGGCACAACGATGACATGGACAGATTCATATTATGTAAATGGCGCCGTGATGCAACCAATGTGGAGACGGATTTGAGTCGTTGCTCCTCCCATCCGTTTTTAACCACGCTCCTTGTTCTTCACAGGGAACACCGGACGTCAGTTGTGGGCGGCCCTTGCCGGTCGTTGTATCGAGAATGTCAACAAGCTGTTGTCCAGGGGTAAACCAGAGATGACTAGGTCCATTTCGATATCCTGGGATTGCTGAGCACCAGTTATGGTGCAATGAAGAGAGGAACATCGACTTTACCTTCATATATTTACATAATGAAATCAGTCCGAGCAAATTGTTAGCACGTTCCGGTCCTCGACGTTTGGAGTTGGACTTGTTAGCAAACTATGTCTCTGAAACTTTTTTTTTTTTAAATCAGCAATCAGGTATGTGCCTACAAAAAAAAAATGTAACGCCATACTGAGTACTGACTTAACCTGTTACAGGCCAATTTGCCGAGCTGCGTTTTGCCGAATGCTTATTCGCCGAATGTCAATCTGTCGAATTCATTTTGCCGGCGTGTCTTTTTGCCGACATGTCAAAGGGGCGAAGTGCTAAAAGTCGAAATGCCGACATGGCTTTTTGCCGACGTGCAAAAAGTCGAAATGTAAATTTGGTGAAATGCTTATTTGCCGAAATGTCAATTAATCGAAAAGCCAATTAGTCGAAACGTCAATTCCCCGAAATGCTAATTCGCCGAAATGCTTATTAGCCGAATGTCGCTTTGCCAAATAGAAGTTCCGTATTGCCGTGTTGCCTCCCGTTGCGCAGTGTATTATTATTTTGCCGTAAAACCGGTCTCAACTCCTTTCCCCGCTTGCTCAGTGATGTTCCATTCTCCTTTGTTAACTGAAAGACTTAGCTGAAAGACCTGAAAGACTGAGCGAGTGGCGAAAGGAGGAGACAAAGGGCCAGGGGAGATGTGGGGTGGGCGGGTGGAAATCGCTTGTGCTTCGCACTCGTAAAGGAAGATGGCTACCCAAGAGGTGGCCAAATTCCTGATGCGATGCGGGGTTTACCCATAACGTTATTTATCCATATACATATTATTATTATTAGTTTTTTTTTAAATAAATCATGAACTGACTTTCGTGCGTCTTAGTACATAAAGCACTTTTGATAAGTGCGATATAGCGACCATCTCAATATCACGTAGTGCCATCTATCTTCCTCCTACGGACCTAAAACTTGCATGGATGTAGATGTCGCTGCATGTCGTCCAGCCCTCGCGACCGTCTAATGTACCGTGATCGTCGCGAGCTCCGATACGTTACCATTAGCCGAATGTCGCTTTGCCAAATAGTAGTTCCGTATTGCCGTGTTGCCTCCCGTTGCGCAGTGTATTATTATTTTGCCGTAAAACCGGTCTCAACTCCTTTCCCCGCTTGCTCAGTGATGTTCCATTCTCCTTTGTTAACTGAAAGACGCCAAACACACCAAAGCACGCATATTCTAAGCTCGTTGGGCGAGATCAGGGCGGGGTGCCCGAAGTATCGAGGCGATGTGGGTGAACGGGGGAGGCGCTGGGGAGGCGCAGTGGAGGGGTGTTCAGTGGGAGCGGCGGTCCCGACGATGAGCGGCGTCTATGGCGAGGCAGGCACGCCGGACGTCGAGGCGGGGTCCACGTATGTAGGACGCATAGGTGTGTCCCTGCCACCGGCCGGACGCTTGTATAGTCTGGTTGGGTGTGCCTGTGGCGGCCGCAGCGGTGGCGAACCCGATGCGGAGGCTGTGGGTGGTGAGTTTTCCGGATGCGGAGCAGAGATTGGTTTTCAGCAAGTTGTTGAGCCAAGAAATGGTGGCGTAAGAGCCGGATGCCAGGGTGAAGAGCGGAAGGTCGGCTGGGAGGTGACCCGTGTAGGCCAGGTAGCGGTCCATGGCGCGAACAGGGCAGGCCGATCCTTGGAGTCGGGGTAACGTGACGACATGTCCTTTTCCGGTTTGGTCGGTTTTGGAGGCCGGGATGGTGAGGGTGAGGGCGTCATTGTCAGTGGTGACATGACGGCGGAGACACGTGCGGCGGGGAGAGTAGGCGCTGGCGCTGGGAGTTAGGTACTCACTGCCCCGTAGGGCTCCGAAGAACCCCATTGTCACAGCTGCCCACGCGGCCAGGCGGTCTTGAGTGGGGAGGGCGCCGCGTCGGAGTCTGCGACGGAGTGAAGTGAGAAGAGAAAGAGACATCGGGAGCCGTTTCTTGGTAGGCAGACGGGGCTTCTTGGCTACTGCTCGAAGGGCCAGGCGGACGCGTGCTGACAGCCCCAACAATGGCAGGTTATTGGCCACGTGCCAGTGTCGTATGCCAGCGAGGTGGGCCGTCACTGTGGCTTTGGACGCGCCGCGCAGGCAGAGGTGTGTCACATAGCGCAGAGTGGTGCTCTCCTCGGCAGGAAGTGGGTGAATCGCATGCGCCTGACAGAACTGGCGAAACTTCGCGATGGCGCGACGGTAGATTTTCCTGGTAGCCGGCGCTAATCCAGCCCGAATCAGCCGTCGAGCCGCCGCGTCTAGATCCGCCAGGCGGAGGCCGCGGTACACTCTGTCGCCAGCGCTGCCAGGAAGGCCGTGAGCGGCCTCGGGAGCGGCGTGGCGGACGTCTCCGCCGCCGGATGGAGGCGGTGGAACCTCGCGACCTGTAACCGGGAGAGGGCATCAGCCGCGGCGTTCTCCGACCCATTGATGTGCGTGACGCGCAGGGCGAAAGAGTGTCGCGCAGCAGCGAACAGTGCCTGTCGTATGAGGGACATGAGACGCGGGTCTTTAGACCATCCCTTCTCCCACGCGCCGACGACACCGGAGTTGTCACAGTGCATGGAGATGCGGAGACCGGACCAATGGGAACCCCAGAGCAGGCAGACTGCGAGAATGGGGATCATCTCGAGCCAGGAGATGGAGTCCGCCCACTCTGCGGTGGCTTCCAGCCAGGGCGCGGAGAACCATGCCGCCCCGCAGAACCCTCCGAAGCCCACGGTGGAGGCGTCAGTGTACAGGTGCAGGTCGGCCGCGGGTGTCCAGGTGGGATGGATGAGGGGGGCGGTGCCGTTCCAGTCCGGGAGCATTTCGAGCCACCAGTCCAGATCGAGTCTGGTGTCTCGCCTGATCGTCACCCAGTGATGTGGGCGGTGGACAGAGTGAGCGGTGTCTAATAACCTACGAAAAAAACTGCGTCCGGCTGGAATACATTTTGTTGCGTGCACCAGTTTTCCCACTAGACTCAGCAGGCGCCTCTGACGGACAGTGCGGGAGGCTCGGATCTCTCGGAGGAGCGTGATCAGCGCCTGCAGTTTGGCTTGCGGCAGGGAGATGGTCATGTTGGCTGTGTTGAGGACGCAGCCGAGGAGTTCCATCTTTGTTGACGGAGCGCAGCACTTCTGTTCGGACAGAGGGACTTTGCACTGTTCGCAGATGGTCAGGAAGACGTCGTAGGCTCGCTCGCAGTCAGCTGAGTCGGCTGGGCCGATGAAGAAAAAATCATCGAGATAGTGGTGAATGTGCGGGTGAGCGGCGTGGAAGCGGGCTGTGATAGCTAGGATATCAGCCAAGTCGTTGAAAATTGCGCAGGCTGACCGTAAGCCGAAAGGGAGGCGGACGTCATAGAAGAATGTTGAATTCCATTGAAACCCAAGCAGCCAGCGCTGAGATGGGAGGACCGGGATCAGGCGGAAGGCGTGTTTGAGGTCGGCTTTTGCGAGCAGGGCACCGCGGGGCCCTTGTGCGTAGATGTGCTGGATGGCTTCATCCATCGATGTGTACTGCACGGTGAAGGCATCTTTGTCGATGTAGGCGTTGACACTCAGGCCCTCCGGCTGGGATAAGTCGAGAATCAAACGCACGGTGCCATCAGGTTTCACTCGGGCTCCGAGAGGGTTGCAACGGAAAGGAGTCATAGGTGGCGTTGGGAAGGGGCCCATGGTGTGTCCCCTGGCGAGTTCTGCTTCTAGGGCGGCGGTTACGGCAGTGGGGTTGGCGCGGGCCGATGCGTTATTGGGGCGGGAAGTGGAGACGGGGGGACCGGTGTAGCCGATGTCGGCGCCATGCTCAAGGCGGTCGAGTACCGGGTGCAACAAAATGGAGGGAACAGCCGGGGTGGCGAGTTGCCGCAGCGCGGAGACATCGATGGGTGTGGTGGGGGGTGGGGGAGACGAGTCAATTGGGCCGACGGCGGCGATGTCGGAGCTTACCGCGTCTGGGTTTAGTGCCAGCGAGACCTCTGCTGTTTCGGCCCGGTCAGCGCGGGCCGATGGGGGATGGACCCTGGCTGGCCCGGGGCCGCCATCAGGCACTGTCGGGTTGGGTGCGGGCCGCGGCAGATGGTGCAGGCGTGCTGGCGCTTGCACGTGCCCCCGCTGTAGCAGCCGGCTCCGTTGTAGCGGAGGCACAGTTCGTTTGGGGCGCCCCCTGGGCGCTGTGCGGCGGGTCCGGCGTAACGGCTGCTGGCGGCGGCCGTTGGGGCGGCGGGTGGCGGGAGGCCGCCGGCCGATCCCGTGCTCTCCGTGAAGGACGCCGCGTCATGGTAGTCGTCCCCGTATGTGGCCATGTGCGTGCGGGCTCGCTCATCTAGGTCGCGCAGCGCGCTTGTGGGCAGGCTCTCACCCCGGCTCTGGATCCAGAGTAGGTATGTTGCCCATTGCACCGCCGCGGCTGGAAAGAAGTACGTTCTATATGCGGCGATGGTGGTGACACCCCGCATGTAGGCCGCCGGGCTCAGCGGCGGGTATCGCGTCGGCGCAGCGCCCCGCGGTCCGTCCGATGGCGCGTGCGGGAACACCACCGCCTCTACTGAGGCCACCTTGCTGCGGTCGGCCAGTGTCTTGAGGGCTGTGGCGCTGACCGTCGGCAGCTTTAGGCCTCTAGGCGGTGGGGGCTGCTGAGACCGCCGGGGCACGATACTCATGTCCAGGAAGTCCGTGATGGGCTGGCGACCTTGAGTCTTGGAGCGCTTCCGTGACCTCGACATCCGACCGTGGTCGGACGGAGAGTCGGACGGCGTGTCAGACTCGGTCCAGTCGGAGTCCGACGTTCGCAGGGACGGTGAGCGGCGTTGTCGGTATCTTGAAGCCTCTCTGGTGGAGCAGTGGCGCCGCTTCGCTGAGCGTTGAAAGGAGGTTAGGTAAGACCACATTGACACCTACTCAGTACTGAGTGAACATGTTGGCTATCTTGCTCGGGCTCATCAAGCAATGTTGATATGCAAATTGATGGTATTGTGTACCTAGATCTCATAACTATTTGTGATTGTAGTTGTATACTCTTGGATCTAAGGGTCTTTCGGTTTGTCTGAATGTAAGCCGGCTTTTAATAATTGCCAGCGGGCTGAGGGACACAAGGTGTACTGGCCAGCGGGCCAGGCAGTCGGGGCAGCCAGCGGGCTGAGGGCATGAGATCGGCCAGCGGGCCGGGCAGCAAGGGCAGCCGGCGGGCTGAGGGGGCATGCGGTCCGGCCAGCGGGCTGGGCAGCAAGGGCAGCCATCTGTCTGAGGCAAGAGGTCTGGCCAGCGGCCCTACAACAAGGGCAGCCATCTGGCTGAGGGCATGAGTTCTGGCCAGCGGGCCTACAACAAGGGCAGCCAGCGGGCTGAGGGCGTGAGGTCTGGCCAGCGGGCCTACAACAAGGGCAGCCATCTGGCTGAGGGCAGGAAGTCTAGCCAGCGGGCCTACAACAAGGGCAGCCAGCGGGCTGAGGGCATGAGTTCTGGCCAGCGGGCCTACAACAAGGGCAGCCAGCGGGCTGAGGCAAGAGGTCTGGCCAGCGGGCCTACAAAGAGGGCAGCCAGCGGGCTGAGGCAAGAGGTCTGGCCAGCGGGCCTACAACAAGGGCAGCCAGCGGGCTGAGGCATGAGGTCTGGCCAGCGGGCCAGGCAGCAAGGGCATCTGTAGCGGGCAGAGGGCATGAGGTTAGCGGGCCGGGCAACCACCTTGTGTAAGGGTCGGTATGGCGTTGGTAGTTTGTAAGGGAGAGGCGTATTAAAAGATACAACTGTCATTGGCGCCAGTGCAGGGCTGGCTAATCGAGGGCGAGGGGGTGGTCAGCGTGTGAGAAGTAGGCGGACCATAAATAAAACTTATCTGCTGAGAATCGAACCCGGGACCTCCTGCGTGGCAGGCGAGCATTCTACCACTAAACCACCGATGCCTTACTGTCCCAGATAAACCTGTGATAAAGTATATAAACACAAACAACCCCATGAGAAAAACCCGGGTGGCAAACACAGACATTGTTGCATAGAGGCGAGATGTTAGCCATGTAAAGGCAGGAGCCATGTAAGTGAGAGCTGTGGTTGCGACGCAGGAAGAGGGGCTAGTATAGAGCAAATAGACCCCCGAGTGGGGCCCCGTGTACGATCGCACTGGACGTGCGGCGAAGATGGCGCGCCTTCACAGATGCCATACCGTTAGTTGTCCTCGAATAATTACAAAAGGGTAAAATACCTGGTTGTTTCCGGCGACGCACCATCCTGCCGCGGCAGGTGAGGCAGTTGTAGTGATCAAGGCGTGAAAATACACGTTTGCAAATCGCTAAGTCGCTTGTGCTTCGCACTCGTAAAGGAAGATGGCTACCCAAGAGGTGGCCAAATTCCTGATGCGATGCGGGGTCTACCCATAACGTTATTTATCCATATACATATTATTATTATTAGTTTTTTAATAAATTATGAACTGACTTTCGTGCGTCTTAGTACATAAAGCACTTTTGATAAGTGCGATATAGCGACCATCTCAATATCACGTAGTGCCATCTATCTTCCTCCTACGGACCTAAAACTTGCATGGATGTAGATGTCGCTGCATGTCGTCCAGCCCTCGCGACCGTCTAATGTACCGTGATCGTCGCGAGCTCCGATACGTTACCATAATTAATCGAAACGTAAATTGGCCGAATTGTCAGTTAGTCGAAATGCCAATTTGCCGAAATGCTAATGGCAGATTTAAATTTCGACTAATCGACATTTTGTCCAATTGCAAATTCGGCAAATTTACATTTCGGCAAATTTACATTTCGACTTATTGACGGTTCGGCAAATCGCATTTCGGCAAATTTACATTTCGGCTAATAAGCATTTCGGCCAATTGACATCTCGGCAAAAAGGCAT